AGATCAAAGCTCCTTGTCTGAGCCCAGAGGCTCCCCCGGGCCCCCGAGCTGCTCTCTCCTGGCCGGAAATCCCATTTCGATCGGCAAGTCGGAAACAGGGCTGACCAAAGGGAGCAAGCCTGAGATGGACACTGCCTGGGCTCCTGGGGTGGGAAACACACTCCCCATCCATGCCCTGGGCCTCGCACATGCAGGAGAAAGCCAGGGAGGTGAAGGGGGACAGAGCCGTGGGCAGAGGGCAGAGGTCTGCAACCTTGACGCGCCCAGCAGGGCGGGAGAGAGCTGCTGACTGCATGGGAGGGTTTCAGCCTGCGGGCCTGCAATGGCCCAGGCGGTGAGAGTCCTGGAGTAGCCAGGGAAGGACCACAGGCTGGTGTGCCCAGCGGGGAGCAGTCTGCCAGCAGCCCGGGCTCCCCGATCAGCTGCTGCACAGAATCTCGGCTGGGAGAGGGTCCAGCTCACAGCTGCCTCCTGACGAGGGGCTGTGTCTGCTCATCTGATGCTCCAGCATCGGAACCCGCCCACCCTGCCCACCAGCCCTTGCCCCAGCCACGCCCACTGTGGCCCGGGCCACCAGCACCTAGATGGTGGAAACAGCTTCCCGGGGGGTCTCCTGGCCCCTACACTTCCACCCCCGCCCGCACACATTTTCCTGATTTAGCAACCAGGAGACTGTTACAAAGCCAGAGACAGGCCATCAGTTCTCTGCTCAAAACCCTCCCATGACTCCTCCTGTCACCAAGAAAAGGCAAGGGCCCCCACGATCTGACCCAGTGACGCACGAGCAGTTCCCACGGGCCCCGCCCTCCGCTCCAGCAGCCCCCTTGTGCTTTGCACATGGTGCTCACTCCACCCAGAACGTCCTGCTGCCTCATGTGTGCTCCTCCTGGCTCTTCGCTCAGGGAGGCCTCCCCAGCCGGCTTAAGATCACCGTGCCCTCCCCAGGGCTTCCCACCCCCAACCCGCCACGTCATTTCTCTCCAGAGCACGGACACCATCTGACACGTTTTGCTTAGTTATCTTCTGTTCCGTCTGAAGCCCCCAGGGAATGGGGAGGGGGCAGATGTGTGCACTGCACGGTTCACCAGTCTACCCAGTGTCAGCCCCGGCACACGGAAGTGAAGGTCGCGACCCCATGGACTAGTGGGTAGCCATTCCCCCCTCCAGGGGATCTTCCCAACCCGGGGATGGAACCCAGCTCTCCCGCATCGCAAGTGGATTCTTTACCAGCTGAGCCACAAGGGAAGCCCAAGAATACTGCAGTGGGCAGCCTCTCTCTTCTCCAGCGGATCTTCCTGACCCACGAATTGAATCAGGGTCTCCTGCATTGCAGGCAGATTCTTTACCAACTGAGGTGTCAGGGAAGAGTGAGCTTTCAATAAACACTGAATGGAAGGCACTCGGTTCCCAAGGCAGGGATTGTTTACCATCCCCTTCCTAGGACACACAGGGGTTAAGGCGCGTGCCTGATGTCACACAGCTAGTGAGCGGGGAAAGCACAGTTGGAACTTCGTCTCCCAAGTTTTGCTCTTGGGGGCAGAGTCGCCCGGGGGCTCAGAGCCTGGCTGTGGTGGCAGACAGACCTCGGGCTTTGGCCTTGACACTTTCTGGGAAGCTGCTTAACTTCCTGGTGCCTCGGATCCCTAACCTGCAAAACGAGGCAAACGGAACAGCTACTCGGAGCGCGGCCGTGAGGATGAAACGAGCTGGGGCACCCCGCGCGCTTGCGGTTATTATTACTCTGATCAGTATCTAAAGCGAGGGTCTCCTCTCCTATGCCAGGCACGCCCTCCTGGCATCTCGGGAGCCGCTTCCGACCCCCCCAACCCCGCCTCGCTCTGTTGTCAGAGGCTTGCGAGAGGAGCTGGTGACTGATAATGATAATCTCACTACAGTAGTGGAGTCAGTCAATTGCTCGGTGACAGATTTCATGGGCCCCACCTCATCTCCCGGGTCCCCTTCTGCTAAGCGGGCTGCGGGGCTGGGATCTAACAGAACCACAGAGCTCTCACATGCTAACTCCTGCACACAAGGAGGGATTGCTTAACATGAACAGCCCGCCGCAAAGCGTCTGGAGCAAGGCTGAGTAGCACGACACAAGGAATCATCACTGAGCTGCCGGGGCGGGGCTTTCCAGCGCTCTCCATGGACTTCCTGGAAATAAATATTACTGATGCCACTTGTCCTTGGCACTCCTACAAGGTCTCATCATCCCCATTTTAGAGATGAGGAGACTGAGACCCGGGGTGAAGGGATGCTCTGAAAGACACACAGCGGGCTTTGGCAGACTGGACATGAACACAGGCCTGTCGGATCCGAGGCTGCAGGCTTGTCCATCCTCCCAAGCACACTCTACCTACAGTTCCTGTCCCAGGAAAAGTCCTGTCCAGCTCCGCCTGAGAGTCGCACCCAGACAGGGCATTCAATTAACTTGAGCAATGAGATGAAGACCTGTTCTTTATCCCGTTTGTGCTCAGAAAGGCCCCTCTGCTCCCATTAGAGGCTGGCAGGACAGGAATGAGCCTCCCTTTGATATAAAATGGGAATCTGAGGCCCAGAGAAGGTGGGTACCTCCGGACCAGATGCAGCTGGTCAGCGTCCAGGGTCAGGGTTCCTGCAGACACAGCTCCCCCTCCTGCTCCCCGGAACCCACACTGGACACTCACCCTCCAGGAAACAAACTGTCCCCAGGCAGCCCGCTCCCATGTGAGGGCCTCCCACGCTCCTGCCTGCACCCTGCCCTCCCTCAGCCCCGGCACACGGGCACCCCGCCTGCCCTCCCTTTCCGCATGCCTGTCCTGGGGACAGTGACGCCTATAGACCAGCTCACCTCTGTGGCTCCAGCAGCCAGCACGGGGCCTGAGAACCACAGGGCTCGAGGGGCGTGTGAAAGGAGTGGATGAGGGAATGACTCCTGCAGTGGGGATCCCACCAGCTGGTCAGGACCCAGCTGAAATGTGCCCTCCTTGGCGGCTCTTGCCCTGGGTTCCCGGAGCATCCCATAGACACTCATCGAGCTGTGTGACCCCGTCCCGGGAGGTCTGCCTGCCCCCTTGGCTTCCCCCCTCCCTGCATGCCAGTGCTGCCACCATTAAGTATGGAGGGGAGGACAGAAGCGTGGGTGGGGGGCGGACAAACACGCGGACAGACGACAGAGATGTATGGGCGGATGGGCGGAGAGAACACGTCCCTTCTGGGTGGTGGGTTGGGTTTTTTTTTTTCTGCAGGCGGCTCTAGAAACCCAAGGGTAGAGATTGAACCAGGGCCCAGCTGCCAATCCCCCCCTCAGCCTGGGCCCCGCTCCCGCCCCCTGGAACTCACCTCACCCTCCCTCACACCCTAGGGGTCTCAGGCGCCTCCCTGCAGAGCCCTACTGCCCACAGCAAGACCCCAGACCCCCACCCTCCACACAGCGAAGCCCTCTTCTTTTTTCTCCCAGACTTTCCCCACAGATGCCAAGGCCTGTGCCTCCGCACCATTCCAGAACTGGGGCCAGCCTTTTCTTCCAGAAACATTCAGAAAAGCAGCTCCCAAGAGCCCCTCTCTAGCAGGAGAGGACCTTTCGGGGTGACGGAAACAGTCATATCCGTGCTGTCGAATGCAGTCGGCATAAAACCTCGTGTGTGCGGCACCTCAATTCACACTAAAAATGTGGCTAATAGGACTGAAAAATAAAATAAAATCTGCAATATTTCATTTTAATTAATTAAAAAATTAAGTAGCTACATGAGGCCATCGGCGACTGCACCAGACAGCCCACAGATCTAAGGCCTGTTCTCACGCTGCCGAGCCTCAGTCCTTCCTGCTGCTTCCAGAACAACCAGGAACAGTGACAGCTGCTCTCTTTCCTCGTTGTCTAGTCACTGAATCGTGTCCAATTCTTTGAGACCCCATGGACCATAGCACACCAGGCTCCTCTGTCCTTCGCTGTCTCCAGGGTTTGCTCAAACTCACGTTCATTGAGTCAATACCACCCAACCATCTCATCCTCTGCTGCCGCCTTCTCCTGCCCTCAATCTTTCCCAGCATCAGGGTTTTTTCCAGTGAGTCGACTCTTCGCATCAAGTGACCAAAGTACTGGAGCTTCAGCTTCAGCACCAGACCTTCCAATGAATATTCAGGATTGATTTACTTTAGGATGGACTGGTTGGATCACCTAGCAGTCCAAGGAACTCTCAAGAGTCTTCTCCAACTCCACAGTTCGAAAGCACCAATTCATCAGCCCTCAACCTTCTTTATGGTCCAATTTTCACATCCATATATGACTACTGGAAGAAACATAGCTTTGACTATATGGACCTTTGTCAGCAAAGTGATGTTTATGCTTTTTAACATGCTGTCTAGGTTATCATGTCTCAAACAAAACTAAAAAGCAACCTGTAACCCAAGTACTGACGTTATCTTGCCTTTTATTCCAGCATCTCCCAGAGCTCCAATATGTACAAACTTCATTTATACACATATAATATACACCATATATACGTATTTATATATATTCACACACCAGCCCACACGCTCTCATACACTCACACGCACGCACCCTCCTAGGAGGGTCGTGTGGCCGCCCTTGAGCCCTGCTCGGCCCCGACAAGAGGTGCTGGGCTTGCCAGGCAGTTGTGAGGTTTCGTGTTTTTTTTTTTTTTGCTTTTAAAAAGAAGGCCATCTCCTCAGGAGGTGTCCTCCCTCTCCCCAGACCCAAACCACTCCCCTAAACACTGAAATTGTTTTTTTTTTCCTTAAAAAGGAAGGTTTCCCTCTGCTCCACTCAGGTGGATGGTGGAGCTCCAGGCCTGTCCTCGCATCCCCGTGCAGGCCCCTTGAGGGCGAGGCCACCCAGCGCTCCCTGGGGGACCCTGAACAGCCGGAAGGGCCCACTGCAGGCCGAGAGTCGGGCGGGCTGCAGCCAGGCCTGCCGCCACGTGGCATGGGCGGGGCTACAGAGTGGCCTGGGCGGGGCTACGGTGTGACCTGGGCGGGGCTACGCCGAGGCCTGGGCGGGGCTACAGCATCAAGGGCGCCTGCCAGATGAGGAGGGTGCTGTCCGTCTCCCCGCACGGGGCCAGCTTCCCGGGGCTGCCCGCTGCGCTGCCGAAGTTGCGATAGCCGCGGCCCCCGGAGATGATGGCCACGGAGCAGATCTCCTTGCGGTGGGCGTCGCGGGCACAGGGCCGGTTGCGCACCCAGACGTCAGGGTCATCCACCATCTCATAGATGGAGCCGTCCTCCTCGCTGTGCTCCGGGGCCGAGCCGTTCGCCGGCTCCGGCTCCCGTACGGACAGCAGCGGGCCCGGGAGGTGGGAAGTGGAGCGCAGGCGGTACTGCAGAAGGATGCCCTTCTTGCGGATCAGCTCCCCGCCCACGTGGCTCGCGGGTGCCGGCTCAGGAGCTGGCCCATCCACCTTGTCCTCCTCGGCCTGCTGCCCCTCGGCCTCCTCCTGGTCACTCCGCAGGATATCAGGGGCCAAGATGCTGGTGGCCACAGCCAGGAAGGCCACGGGCCCACAGTGCCCGTTGAGCGAGACCATGCCTTTCCCTGAAGGAAGGGGGCAGAGAGAAGGGGCCCAAAGGCCCAGAGTTTTAAAGACCCATTGAGTCTGGTGGAGAAGGAGACGACAGAGGATGAGATGGTTGGATGGCATCACTGACTCAATGGACCGGAGTTTGAGTAAGCTCCAAGAGTTGGTGATGGACAGGGAGGCCTGGAGTGCTGCAGTCTATGGAGTTGCAAAGAGTTGGACACAACTGAGTGACTGAACTGAACTGAACTGAGTCTCTTGGAGAACTTCCTGGGTTTCATTTTTGGCTTATTTGGGTTACTGCGATCTATGTTGGCAGCTTCCCGGAAGGCCATGGGTCTGGAGGAGTGCGTGGAAGAGTGGAGCAGGGGGACACAGGTGACTTTATAAACCACATGGGGAACCTTGGTGTGGAAGCACCTGCAGCTCCCTGCCTTGGCCATCCTCATGTCTCCCTGCCTTTGCCCAAGCCATCGCCTCTGCCCAGAGAGCCTTTTGCATCCACCTGACTCGACAACTAGGGCTTGAGGCCTGGCTCAGCCCCTCCACAGGGCTCCCTCCTTGCCTTCATCCATAAGAGATGATCACTCCTGTCTCTGTGCTCCGCTGACCCCAGGACACCTGCCATCACAGCACTTGCTGCCCTGGCTACAAGCCACCCCGACCAGGCTGTCAGTGTGTGGGGGCAGGGTCTCTGCCCAACACATCCTTGCAACCCCAGGACGGATCCCGGGATGAGAAAAATGACCTAGTGATGAGACCAGGAAAGCAGTAAGTCCCACAGTTTAGGAAGAGGGTCTTCTTGGGCAGAGAGGCTTGCGGTCTGCCTGGGGCTGGTCTCCCCCGGGGCATCTCCCTCCCACTCCACGCAGCCCTGCCCTCCTGCAGCAGCCGGAAGAGGCCACTTCAGCATCCACCACTCAGGGCAGAGGCAGAGAGGGGGCCCAGAGCTCTGGGGTCTTCCCTGACCCTAGATTCCAGCACCACATCAGGGCGGCCCCTCCTCTAACCCAGGCAAACACGGCTGCACATGGACCTCTGTCCCCGTGAGCCCTCGGTTATTTCTGTCTCTGGAGCCGGGACACGGAGAAGCCGCTGTGGCGACAGCAGGAGGAGGCTGGCAGAACCTCTCTGTTAGCTGGGTGTCTCGGCCAATCCGCAAACCATCTGGCCAGTGTGCCTCCTACGCCCACGGCCAGATGAGGTAATTGAGTCTCAGAAAGAAGACCTGCAAGGAGACTGCAGGGCCCAGGTGATTTAATTCCACCGAGCCACCAACAGTGAGAGAGGACACTGGGGAACGGGCACCTGTCCCCAGATGAGAAGAGAGTGCACGCATCTGGGCCCAAGACCCAGCCTGCCCTGGCCACGTGCAGCCGACCCCCGGGTCTCACCTGTGATCTTAGGGATGCCTTCCAGCCGAGGCACCGGCAACAGCACGATGACCCCCTGGTCGGTGCCCACCCAGAGCAGACCCTGGCAGATCAGGAGGCTGGTGACACACAGGTGCTTCTGGCCTGCAGGGGGAGAAGCCAGCGTGAGCTGCAGGGTCTTTTGGGGGATGGCGGTGCATGAGGGCCCCAGAGCCGAGAGAACGGCTCCTCGGGGCGGCTCTCCTGGGACAAGCAAGAAGCTGGACAGCCTTGGGGTTGAGGGGTGGGGCTTGGGAGGCTGACCTGGCTGGCATCTGGCCCTGGGTCTCCCAGCTGAGCACCCCACCCCCCCAGCCTCGGTTTCCTCCTGTGTAAAGCAGGGCTGCCTCGAGGATACAATGAGGGACCGCCACAGTGCTGGCCCACGTCGGCTCTCGACGCAGCAGCCGCTCTCCTGGCATGAGGTGCAGGCTGAGGCCCGCCCATGCCAGGGACATAACCGGCCAGCTGGGGAGGAGAGAGAGGCCTGGGGAGGTGCGGGTTGAGGATAAAGCAGACAGTGCAGAAGGGACGTGTGGGGAGGGGTCTGGGCGAGCTGGCGGCCCTGTGGGTTCCAGCCCGGGCTTGACATGCTACCCGCACAGGCCTTCTTCAGGCGGGGGCCCAGCTGCAGTCCCCGGGCCCCATGGTGAATGGGCTCCCAGCGCCGGGAACTAGCGTGTTTCTGACGCCAGTCCAGACTTGCAGACCACTTCTTGTCCAGTCACCCGCTAGGCTGGCTCTGCCTTTGACGGGGAGCAGTGACGGGGGAAGGTGGGTCCCTGTGCCCTTCCCGGGGGAGGCGCAGTGTGGGCCACACAGCCCCGGCCGAGAGCAGGGCGCCAGGCGCAGGCTCCGGGTCCAAACCCCGGCTTGGCCACCTCCTGGCTCCACGTCCCAGGGCCGGAAACAAGACCCCTCTGTGCCCGGGTTCCCTCACTGCACAGGGCGACAGTGATGACATTTCACAGCCTCGTCCGGAGGAGTAAGTGAGCCAGTGGCTGCGGACCACATAACCCAGAGCCTGTCACAGGGCATACACGGGTGGGTGCCAGCCACCGTCACTGCTGCTCTATTGCTGACAAGTCGGGGTCGTGAGGGAGGCACTGGGGGCCCAGGCCTGCCCTCCCAAAGGGCTGTCTCACCTCCAGCCTGGATCCTTCTGCCCACTGACAGACCTAGTCTCTCCTCAAATCCCAAGTCACGCCACGACATGTGAAGTGACGCTTGGAGTAGGGGGTTCTCAAGCTGGGCTTGCGTCAGCACCAGCAGGAGAGCCGACACCCGCGGGCCGGCCCTAGAGGGGAGCCCGCACTTCCCACAGGTTCCCAGGGACACCCAGGCTGCTGGCCCCGGGGCCACTCTGTAAGAAATACTGCCTTGCAGCTTCCAAAGCACTTCACACACCTGCCCCAGCCCAATACAAGCCTTGCAACAGCTGAGAGGTGAGCACAACCTGGATGCTGTGCCCATTTCCCAGATGAGGATGTTAAGGTCCAAAGAGGTCACCCAGCTGGTGAGTGCAGGGCGGGGCAGGGCAGGGGCGGCGGGAGAGGAGAAGAGCTCGAGTCCGTCACTTTTACAGCCTGATGCTTTCACACTGCCTCTCCGCTCTTTCTTTGGCCTTGCCTCATGGCAAGTGGGGCCTCGGTTCCCTGACCGGGGACTGAACCTGCGGCCTCTGCACTGGAAGCTCGGAGTCTTAACCTTTTGACCTCCAGGGAAGTCCCAGCCTCTCTACTCTTGAACAAGTTGCTTGAGTTCGGCACCTGCACGTGTATGGGCTTCCTCTGCAGAGCAGCGTCCCAGAGCGGACTGGTGCGGCTCCACGGCCAGCCGGGAAGGAGGGTTTACTAACGGGGTTCACACAGCATCACCTGACGCACTCAGCGCCCCGGCACAGCCCAGGACCTCCTGTGGGGGACACTGCACCTGGTGCTGGAGGCAGAGGGGGAACCCCACACAGTGCTGCCCCTGCGGCGCAAACATTCTGGAACTTTCTATGACAATGAACATGTTCTCTGCCCAGTTTGCTGACCATCAGTCACATGCGGCTACGCACACTTGAAACGTGGCTAGTGGCAGACAGACTGAGTCTGTAATTTCACTTCAATTGTAATGGAAGCGACCGTATTAACGGGGGCTTCCGTGGTAGCTTAGACAGTAAAGAGTCTGCCTGCAGTGCAGAAGACCTAGATTCGATCCCTGGGTCAAGAAGACCCCCTGGAGAAGGGAATGGCTCCCCGCTCCAGAATTCTTGTCTGGAGAATCCCATGGACCAGAGCAGGCTGTGGGCTCCAGTCCATGGGGTCTCAGAGTCAGACATGACTGAGCGACTCACACTCACACACACACACACACACACACACACGTATTAATGGAGCCCTGGGAGGGAAGCAGGAAGTGGAAACACAAGGAGTGCAGACACCAGCAGAGGACTCCAAGGAGGGGCGAGGCAGACAGTAGGTGGGAGGAGGCTCGGGTTTCCTGCCTCACTCTGCCTCCTGGGAGGATGGGGGGGCAGGAGACAGGAGACCAGATCTGATGACAAGGGGAGGCAGCCACGCCAAGACCCAAGGGAAGCTCTGGAGACAGCACGTGCAAAGGCCGGGTGATGGGAATGAGCCAGCGGCTCTGCAGAGGGCAGAGCCAGCGCGGCGGGGGGACCAGGCACCCCGAGGTGACCGAGGGAGGGTCGGAGGGCGGCCGGGCCAAGGTGAGGGCAGGGGCTGTTCACTCAGCACGACGAGGCGCGGCCGGTGGGCCTGAGCACGGGAGCGGTGCACCGTGATTTTAGAGAGGCCTTTTGGGTGCCGCGTGACGGACGATGGGGTGGGGTGCAGCGAGCAGAGAGACGGGCGAGGCAGGGATGATGGCGTCCGAGGCGTGCTGGTGACAGGGAGATGCTGAACCGACACGTTGCAGACGGGCCAGCTGACAGACGGCGGGGAGGGGAGGGGAGGGGAGGAAGGAAGGGCAGCTCCCAGGTCTTTCGTGTCCAGCAGCTGGGTGCAAAGGCAGCGCTGCAGACAGACCGTGATGGGAGAGGAGCAGGCCAGCGGGACGTCCAAGTTCCGGACTCGACGTCCAAGTTCCGGACTCGACGTCATCTGAGACGCACATTAGACACCCAAGTGGAGCTGTCGGCAGGCAGTGGGATATATGAGTCCGGTGACAGGATGCAGATTCCACAGGTCACATTCATAGTGTTGATTCCATGGGCAAATGCAAACCAGAGTGGGGGAAAGAAGCCGGCATGTCGGGCTATTTCACAGACAGCGTCTGGGTTGGGGGAGCTGGGACTCTTCTCCACTCCCACACCAATTCAGAGAGTGTAGGCCCCCCACCACCAGGGCTGGCTCCTGGGATGGCCTGAGAGCAGGTGCCGCAGCCCCCGGGACTCGGGAAGTGCAGGAGGCTCGGGCGGCGCGCCCCTCCCGTCTTCTCCTCGCGGCTCTGCTCAAGCTCCGTAATTACTCTGTGCTCTCAGCTCATTTACCGTTTGCCTCCCCAGATGTAAGCTTCCTGAGGGCAGCAGCCTATCTGTGTGTCGAAACCGACTCCCCAGCTCGCTGATCAAACGGCCTGGCTCCTGGCAGACCTGTGAAGAGGATCTGAAAACTCAGATCCAGGGAACAGACTAGTGGTTTCCAGTGCGGACAGCGAAGGCGGGAGGGGCAGGAGAGAGGTGGGGGGTTAGAAGGTACAAACCACGGGGAATAAAATAAATACGCTGCAAGGATACACTGCACGGCACATGGAATAGAGCCAATGTTTCACAGTAACTGTTGAAGGCGTGTGACCTTTCGAAAGTGTGAATCGCCAAGTTGCACACCTGCAACTTCTGTAATAGTGTAAATCAACTACACCTCAATAAATGCTTTTTAAAAGGACCTGTGATTAAATGAGAGGATGAATGAACGAAAGCAAAGAAGTGAACAAGGATGCGGGCGCTGACGTCACTTAGCTGCGTGAATCGATAAGCACTTTCTACCGTCGCTCAACAAACATCCCCTGCTCAATTTTATGATTATTATAAATTTTATCTATGTATATAATACATACTTTGTGTACATAAATATACACATATATACCCACACACTATGATATATATACACACAGTTCAGCACAGCTCTTAGCCCATAATATACAATCAATAAGTGGAGGCTATTAGGAAAATGTGATTATTAAAAGGACCTAGACTCAAATGCTTTAAGATCAGCTCCATCAGAGCCAGAAATCCATGAAAATAATCAAAGCCAAGAGAAGCAGTGGCAGATGTCTCCACCCTACACGCCTCCCCTCCTTCTCCAGGGCCCCGGGGACCTTAGGCCCAGCAAGAGACCATTTCCTGATGCCCTTCCCTCCCCCGAGCCCCTCGGACCGCAGAAACCCGGCAAATGAGAGGAAGGCGGGGAGAAACCGCAAGAGGCGCCGGAACGGAGAAATGACTTCATCTGCAGACTTCGTTCCGGGCCCTTCCTCCTCCCGCTTTGCCTCGAGGAAAAGAGCGAGGCACTTCACAAACAGTCCAAAAGGGGGGAAAAAAAGTCTAATGGTGGATAAATATTTTATCACAGAGACTTAATGCAGCAGTGCTCAACTCACCCAAGCCATCTATCTGGAGATATACAACTTTAAAAAGCTCAGGCTCTCGGAGAACATTTTATTAATGACCTGTCTAGTTAAGAGGAGGAGGGAGTTTAGGTTCAAAACTGCATTAATACCAATCGGGGAGGCGAGTGGAGGAGAGGGGTCCCGGGAAGGAAGCGCGATGAATTTTTAACACGCCCTCAAAAAAATCCACACTTAGAGGAGGAACAAATTCATTAGTAATTACGCAATTATTTCATTTGGTGGTATGGGGGAAGGAAAAATACCTAAAAGCCTTTTAAAAATACCTCTAATAAAGAATTTAAGGATCCTGCTCTGTTCTTCCGCCAGACACAGTGTGGCGTGGACTTGAAGGCCCCCCCACCCAGGGCTAGCTCCTCCTGGGCGTGGAGCCTCCTGGCCCACAGGGCCTGGGGCTGTAACTCCTGGGGACCCTGGGGTGGGCACCCTGGGGCACTGCCCTCACCTCTCAGGTGAAGACCCGCGCCTGCCCTCAGAGGCGGGGCTGGAGCGCCTGCTCACGCAGCTGGAAGCTGGCAGAGCCAGGATTCTGGCAGGGCCTGTCTGACTCTGGGCTCCCACTGGCCCCATGAGCTCAGCTCCCATCTCAGGCCCTCGTCGTACAGACGAGGAAACAGAAGCTGGAGAAGTGGGAAGTGCCCGGTTAGCCCATGAGACGGCTGTGACCCAGGTCCTGGCTCTGGGCCCCACAGCAGTGACCTGAGGCTGGTCATTTGACCTCCGGGGACTCCGTGTACCTATTCTGCAGGCAAGCTCATGGTAGCGATCGCCTTTTCTTCTTTAAGTGTCTTGAGATGTGTTAGTCGCTCAGCCACGTCCGCCTCTTTGCGACCCCATGGACTGTGTAGCCTGTCAGGCTTTTCCGTCCATGGGATTTCCCAGGCAAGAGTACTGGAGTAGGTTGCCACCCCCTTCTCCAAGGGATCTTCCCGACCTCGGGATCGAAACCGGGTCTCCTGCATTGCAGGCACATTTTTTACAGTCTGAGCCACCAGGAAAGTTCTTTTTTAAGGGTAACTAACTGCTAAGAACAAGCCAATCACTGGACTTGAAGACGCGTTTTAAACCCACGGGGAGGTGACAGCCTGCAGCGGGAGCCGCGGGATTTCCGCCCGCAGCAGGTCAGCCCCCAGAGCCGCCCCCGGCCGCTGGACACACCTCACACTTTCTCTGCGTTGCTCCGCCACCCCCCGACTTTACTGAGACGATGAAAAAGGCCCTTAAGATTATCCATTTTTTCCCATTGTTCCACTAACTTGAAATAATTTAGCTATCAGCACAGATGTGGAAATATTTCTGTGATACTGAGAAATTTTTACTGTAATTAAAATAGACTTACCTCACATAATGACTAAGCACTTTGAGAGACAATGAAACTGAAGCTAAAAAATAAAAAAGGGAAAGAAGGGAGGGGGGGAGGGCCCATGACAAACGTCCCCCAAGCCCTTACCCCACACCCTGGGGGCAAGTTAGAAAGGCGTCTGTCTTCCTCACGGATGACCCAGGCCTAAACAAGGCGTCTTCCTGACAGAATTTACCTGGAGCCAGAAAGCACTGCCCATGCCACAGAGGGACCAGAGGCTTCGCAAGGCAGAAAGACCTGCTGTGAGCCCACAGTGGCCGAGCCGGGACCCTGGTCACCTCTGAAGCCATCTCTTCCCCGTTACACGCAGCAAGGCTCTGAACTGAGTCCAACCTGATGTGACTCCCGATCCTGTCTCTGGCCATGCGACCAGGGGATAGCCACTTTACCCTGCCGAACAAACCTCAGTTTCTGCATCTGTAAAATGGGGACAGTGAGGCCCGATTACGTAAAGCCCTTGGCGCCCCGCTCACTGCAGGGCCCTGGCGGAAGGCAGCCACTGTGTACCGTCACTGTTGACCGTGTTGTTAGCCACCATCCCCTGCTACGGCCACCAGCCGGGACTCGAGGACTGGGCGGTGAGACTGGCTGGGGACGCAGGAGCCAGGCCGACCGCTGGGCCCCCCGTGTGGCATCAGGGACTAGGCCTCTGGGGTGGAACAGAGGCCTCTGTGGCCTCTGCGGTGCTGGCCGGAGTCACTGCCCTCTGCCCAGCCTCACCACGCAGGAATCCTGGCCCCCGGCTCAGCGTAGGCCACTCCCAGCCTCTGCGGTGGCCGTCTGCCGAGTCCCTGTCACCATCAGCTCCGGGCCAGCCTGCCACACCTGCTGTTTCCCTGGCCCTGGGGTCCTTCCCCCTGCCGCCCCCAGCCCAGCCGGCATCCTCCCAGACCAGCTCCGGGTCAGTCTGTCTGGTGGAAACTTGGGGGCAAATCACACAGAGGCCCACTGGGCCTGAGGGCTGCTCTCAAGCCGGCTGGGGGCAGCGGTGGGCCCTGAGCACGCATCTGTCCTGGCCCCCAGCACAGCTCACGGGGATCAGCGCTAAGGGCGAGGCCTGCGGCCAATTCCCCGGAGGCCTCGGCAGCCTCTGGGCAGGGGGCAAGGTGCAGGGTGTGCCTAGATCACATCCGTCTCCATGGGTCCCACAAACAGCCCTGCAGGACGAAGCACCGGCCCCAAGCGGAGGACATCGGGGCCTTCACCTCCGCTGACCCGGACCCTGATGGCACACTCAGGAGGGCCCCTGCCTTTCTCTAGAGACCTCCAAGGAAAAAGATCCGTATTTGGCCGTCTCTTTCCCTTTGCTCATCCTGAAGGGGAGTTGAGGCAGAACTGGGCTTGAGCGGCAGGTAAAGGTGGGCCCGGCCGCCTGCCCAACGTGGTGTGTTAGCAACCTGGCTCGCGGGAGTCCCCGAGCCTGGAGCCTGCCTCCGCAGGGGCGCTGGCCTGCTGTGCGCGGGGACGGCCAGAAGGGCTTCCGGAGGGCAGGTCTGGGTTGGAACCCTCAGTCAGCTGCTTCCCCGGGGAGGCCCGGTTCTAAAGGCTGACCAAAGGCTGCCTTGAGGGTTCATGAGATAACCTGGCCCAGCTTGGAAGCCGCCTCCCCAGTGTCCGCTCCCCCGGCACAGCCCCCCGCCCGGGACAGCAGGGTCTCACCTGGCAGCAGGAAGGTGGTCCTGGTGGCGATGTTGATCTCCTGCAGGTGCTCTAGCGTCTCGGTGTGGAAGAGGCGGATGGAGGAGCCGGAGGAGAAGGCCATCCAGACGCCGCTGCCCGCCTTCACCATGTGGGTCACGCTCACGGCTTCGTCCTGGTGCGCCTCGAAGCTTTGCTGCAGCACACAAGAGGGGCTGTCCGTGACGGGCTGGCCGGCCAAGCCCCTGGGAAGCTCACCCCGCCCCGAACCCGGGTCAGAGGGAGGGGACTCGGGAGCCCCGCACCGGTGTGCTGGCAAACACTTAACAACCGGTGGGGGATCCTGGTGTGCTGTGTCTGCTGGTTCCTGGGGTGTCAATACTTCTAAGGTAGCCCAGCTCCAGCTACCCACGGGATAGCCCTGAAGGAGGGACGGGAAACACAAGCGCACACCAGGCTCTACCCTGGCGCAAGGGGAGGACAGGGCGGCGAGTCCACGGAAAAGGGAGTGGCAGCTTGTGCACGTTATCTAAAGGTACGAAGCCACAGAAAAAAGAATTGATGCTCCTACTGTGCTGCTGGAGAAGACTCTCGAGAGCCCCTTGGACAGCAAGGAGATCAAACCAGCCCATCCTAAAGGAAATCAACCCTCAGTATTCATTAGATGGACTAAAGCTGAAACTCCAATACTCTGGCCACCTGATGCAAAGAGCCGACTCACTAGAAAAGACCCTGATGCTGGGAAAGATTGAAGGCAGGAGGAGAAGTGGCTGGCAGAGGACGAGATGGTCGGATGGCATCACCGACTCAATGCACATGAGTGTGAGCAAGCTCCGGGAGCTGGTGAAGAACAGGGAGGCCTGGCGCGCTGCTCTCCACGGGGTCGCAGAGTCAGACACGACCGAGCGACTGAGCAGCGACAGAGGCAGCAGCGGAACAGAACTGCTGGAGGCAGGCGGGCGGCGCGAGCCTGAGCCTCGTCGTCACTGCAGGGAGACACGCCGTGTGTCCAAACCTTGACAAACCCAGACACAACGGCACAGACAATCAAGAGTCACAAGGGAAGTACCCGAGGGCTTAAAAACAGGACAGGTGAGAGTATTTCAGAAAGCAGGAGATGGGATAGGACATTTCAGTAAGGACAGGAGACGGGGAGATGGCGGGGGAGGGTCTTTCCAGATAAATCTTTCCATGCTGTTTGATTTTTTTTTTTACAGGTGTATATAAAATTTTGATCTTAAAAAAATAACTCTTACAGAGCAAGGAGATAAACACCCAGCTTCCCATCTACTTTAGGAGGAAGTCCAAGTTCCTCAGCTCAGCGTTTCAGGCCCATCTCTGCCCCAACCCCGCCTTCCCTGTCCAACCAAAGCCCGGGCCCAAACGATGCTCAGATGCACGTCACTGCTCTCGCGATGGCCCGCCTGCAATGGGCATCACCCACTGTCCTCCTGGGAACAGCTTTTCAGCACCTGAAGACTCCACGAGGCCCACCCCGGGCACCCTTGCACTGGCCTTCTGCCTGCCATCTTCCAGCCTGGCGACATCTATTCCACTCTGGCCACGCTTGACTCTCTCCCACCCTGGTCCATGGACTCCAAGGACAGACACTGTGCCTCAGGCCCTTCGGCGTGCCCGGCAGAGAGCTCAGCACACGGCAAAATTTGATCAAAGAGCAAATGGATGGATGCTTGAAATCCAGCTACGATACTGAGTTGTTACCTAATCATCAACAACCCCCAGCACAGCAGACTAGACGCCTGACCGCTGGGGACAGTCAGGTAACCCTGGCGAGTCCACCCAGTGGGCCGTCCATATACTCAATATCATGTTATCATTTACAAAGACTGAGTGATAAACACAGAAAAACGTGACTGTCATAGCAGTTATTACAGAAAGAAACAAAAAAGGCCATCTGCAAAACCAGGGGAGGGGAGGGGAGGGGAGGGGGAGGTGAAGCCTGCAGAGTGAGGATTATTCCAGGGCAGAACATGGTGACTTTCCTCCTTTCTGTTTTTTCCATTTTTTTTCTATAAAGAACAGATCTTGGGTGGAAGCCCACGACTCCAGGAGATGTTGGCTAGAACATGGGCGTGGGATCAGCCCTGATGTTAAATCTCATTTCCTCAGTAACTTCCCCAGCTGGGGCCTCCATCTCCCCATTTGTAGGTGGAGATTGTCATAAGGGTTATGGGGACTTCTGGGTGAGGGAGGGTTTAGCACAAACCCAGTTCTTAACACAGTCTCCTTCATCCAACAGAAGTTCTTGAGACCCTAGGATATGCCCGGCACGGGTCTAGATGCTGGGAATATAGTGGTGAACAAGGTAACTAAGGGGCCCACACAGTTAAGACAAACGAAGATTGCTCCCAATAGGGATAACCACCGCACAGAAAAAGTGCCGGGAGCCCATTAAGACTGGGTGCCCAGGGAAAATCTCTCTAGGAAGTAGCATTTGTCAAGCGTAAAGGAATGAGCCCTGGTATACGGGGTGGGGGGAACACGCTGGGAAAGGACGCACGCAGCAAGTGCAAAAGCCCTGGGGCAGGCGTGAACTCGCCGTCGTAGTGGGTCTGTTGGGAGCGCTGTGGCAAGACGGAGGTGGGAGAGGCAGTCAGGGCCGGTCGCGCCAGGCAGCCCTGAGGATCCTGCTAAAGAGTTAGGTTTTATCTAAGTGAGGGAGGGGTCCGGGCCTGCTAAGTGACCACGTCAGGTTTACCTCGGAAAGACGCTCAGTTTGAGAGCTGTGTGGCAGCAGGCAGGAATTCTGGGCCTCGCGCGGGCTCAGCAAGTGAGACATGGCAATAAAGGCACTCTGTTTCTTTTGCCGCCATCACCCTAACCCGGGCTCAGCCCCAAGTCCGTCCCGGCTCGGATCACCAGAGCTTTCCCACTGCGATAAAGAAGCTGGGGCAGGGGGTCTCCGCCAGGGGGCCTCGGGGGAGCCGAGCCGGGGAGCTCAGGACCCTGGGCCCGGCGGGCAGGACTGTGCGAGGACCAACGAGACGGCATCTTCCGAGCCCGGCCCCGGCGGCGGGGCTCTGCGGGCCAGGTGGGGTGGCCCGGCAGGCCGGGGTCACAGCAAAGTCCAGGGTCCCAGAGGACCCCCAGCAGGAGAGGAGGGCCAGGCGGCTTTCAGCGGGCAGGGTCCTGACGGCGTCCCTGAGGGCAGAAGCTGCAGCTCCTCTGAGGCGGAAACCTGTCACGTCCATCAGAGCGGGGGTCCCGGGGGTGAGGAGGGGGTCTGCTACCAGGCCAGGAATGCTCCGAGGCCAGGGAGCGCCTCCCTCCTTTTCAGGCTGGGGGCTCAGACTAGGGCCTTCTGTGGGGGTGCTTTTCTATTCCTCCTCCCTCAGCACCCCTCCCCCACCCCAGAGAAGGCCCCTGGGATGGAGGGGGAGGCCCAGCCCCCCACAGCCTCCAAAAAGCCGGCTCCGTCCAGGCGGTGCAGGGCAAGGAGGGGAACGTCCGTGTCCCTGGCCTCTCACTCAGCCCCGGCAGCGCTGGCCAGAAGCTCCTTTCTCTAGAGGAGCTCTTCTTCAAAGAAAGAACCCCTTTTGGGGGTGGGGGGGTATCTTCCTGCAGCAGCCCACACTCAGCTCTCCTGAAGGCCCAGACGCGGGCGGAGCACAGGGCTCCAACAGGAAGCCCCCTCCACCAGCCGAGGCACCCGCGGCCCCATCGCAGATGAGACCCTGAGGCCAGACCCACAGCGCCACCTACGGTAGCAGACGGATGAATGGATGGGGCAGCTGGACGGAAGGGCCCCCAGCAGGCTTTGTCTGCAGACTTTTACAAAAGCCAGCACGCACACACTTACACACGGATGTACAAACAGACAGACACCAACAGAAAGGTGGGTGCCTGCTCACACGTGTGCTGCAAGACTCCTGCCTGGCTCCTGAAGGGAGGTCAGAAACATTTCCTGACTCCGAAAAAGCACTGCAAGCGCAGAGAGACCTGGGCCCACGGAAAGCTGCCCCTGACTTTGCAGCCAGTCAGCCCTGCATGCTGCTGTCAGAATCTAATTAAAAGAGAAGTCAGCAGCAGAAATCCAGGCTCATTTCTCCAGAGGCATAACAAGTCTGTCTCCAGGCCCAAAGGGCTTTGCCCGAGGCCTGTGCAAACCTGCCAAGTCCAACGGCGAGGCAGGGCCGGGGGCGGGGGGAGGGCCAGGGATGGGCATGAGTGGCGGCAGCCCCAGCTCCCCGCTCACTCCTCAGGCATCCCTGCCCTGCCCAGGACCCCTCCCCTCCCCAGGAGCCTGCTGGGGAGGCTGGGTCTGGGTGCCCCAGCTGGGCCTCCTGGGCACACGGGGCAGGGATGGGTGGCACCGTGGGCCCCAGGGGGCTGAGGGCGCTGACTGCAGCACCCCTGGGTGGGAGCAGGAGCTCAGTGCTGAGAGGAACGCATCTCATTTTGTTTCCCAAACATGGGGTGTTTGGAGACAGGAGCTCAGAAATCCTTGCCCGGGAGGCAGCCAGGCCATCCACCAAGGTCAGATGAGACGCTACCCACCTGGCACCCCGATTCCAGACCATGGCTCCCCCTTCTCACCTCTGGACCCCTCCTCTAATTCCTGGCTAGTCTAGGGGGGCCCAGAAGTGGGGTGCTACCTTACTGTCAAAGAGGCCTCCACCCCCGTGTCTCTGAAGAAGGTCCCTCGCCCACCTGCACAACCAGCCCAGTCATGCCCCTCCTCCAGGCCCCAGGAGGCCCAGCACTTCCTGCCTGCGGGGCCGCTACGTGCCAGGCTATTCACTGGCTGCCTCCCTGGCACGGGGAGCTGCTCTGTTCGGATGAGCATCTGGACCAGAAGTCCGCACACAGTGGCCCTCGGGCTACACCAGCCTGACACGTTTTGATGAATCTCGTTTTACTGGAACATGGTCACACGCACATAGAAAAGAGTCCATTCAAGTAGGTTGAGAACTCTGCCCTCTGAAAACACAACCTTGGTCCTTGTTTAAGGACAAGAAGATCCACAGAGAAACCCTGAACTCTGCTGGGTTTGGTGGTGATGGAACAGGCGCTGATTCTGAAATCACGTGGTGTGGCTGAGGCACACTTTATCACTAGGAGCCAGGGTCAGCAGCAGAGCTGCCCAGTTGGCGGAAGTGGCAAAGAATCTGCCTGCCATGCGGGAGATGCAGGAGATGCGGGTTCGATCCCTGGGTCGGGAAGATCCCCTGAAGG